ATTGCCTGCTAGGAGTTCCCAAGTCCACAGGAAGATGCGTGCATTTTTGTTCTTGCTACACTTACATCATGAAACATTAGTTCTAATGAATTTGCGATGATAATAATTAGAAGGTTCAAAAAGCATCACACAATCTTAGTCTAATTTGAGGATAATGGAGTCAGGGGCTGAGGGGTTGCAGAGTCATCTGAGCATACACTTCATCAGTCTCAACATGTGTCTGAATTTTAACGAATGAACAGAACTCTCTTATGTATAAGAATTCTCCATAGGTTGATTACAACAAGACTACAAGAATGAGTAATGTATAAAGTTCAAAAACTCACATGCATTGTAACATTGTGTAGTTAGCAGAGCAACTGGAGTGGCAAACTCGGGTAATTTGTTATGTGGGCATCAACTTCTTTATTAGTAGCAGCAGCAACCTGGCCAACATTTTCAAGTAGGATCCATTACATAAGCAAAGAAATTGTATTGCTTAAATAAAATATCATCTTAATCAAACAAATGAAAAGAGGAAAATAGAGTTTAATTACATTAGTAAAAAAGACATTTCAACAAAAAGATACATTAAAAAACAGGAAAAAGTAAAATAACATGAAATGAATACAACTGGAACATATTATATGATAGGTCACAGACAATTAGCAAGTCTGAAACAATATTCCCAGCTACACTTGAACATGCAAAAGCAGGTGATATCTTCATATTAAGAAAGAAGAAAACATATGATCGGATAATACATTAATGCTTACCGACAATCATGACGAAGGTTGCGAACTAAAAGACTGGTAGGAGCATCTGCTCTACCAAGGCCACCATTTCGTTGTCTTGGGCTAGGGCTCCTTCCTCTTCTACCATAACCTCTAGGTGGTGATGGAGTATAACTCCTACCTCTCATCCATAGAAATTATAGAGATCCTGCAGAACAAAAAACATTTAAGAGGCCATATGGTTAACGAAGGATAAATAATTGACATGAAGAACACATCACAATGAACTATTTCAACATGTCAATACTAAAGATTCCATATATGGAGCAGGGGAAAAGGGAAAAAATATAAGTGGAATTTTAAACTGAAATGGAACAAACATACACACACACAAACAGGAAAATAAAAGTTTGAGGATTCTAATTACAGGTATAAATCTCAATTTTCTGGGAATGTTTTGGTTTTTTATTGGACATGTAAAATACATCAACATTAATAACAAAAACACACATTTTATTAGAGAAACAAATATAAATAAATATTGGAATAGCAAAAATCACAAACTTACAATCCAAATATAATTGACTCCATACAAAAGCATATAGATCAAACTCGACGGACCAATATTAGGATCTTCTCCGGATTTATTTTCAATGAAACATGTACCAACATCAAATAATTTCTAATAGGTCTCTCCATATCTATATATCTCAATCTAAAGAAAAAAGAAAGCATAGAGAATCAGAGGCAGATCTATTTTTATTTTTTTTCCTTTTAAGAAGATGATGCTTCAGAAAGAAATAAACTATACCTTGCTCTTCTGATCCGTTGGCTTTTCAATGTTCTCTGGAGGCTCTACAAACTTGAATACTAACAGATTCATCCAAAAACCACAACCAGAGTAAGAAATATANCAACATTTTCAAGTAGGATCCACTACATAAGCAAAGAAATTGTAGTGGTTAAATAAAATATCATCTTCATCAAACAAATGAAAAGAGGAAAATAGAGTTTAATTACATTAGTCAAAAAGACATTTCAACAAAAAGATACATTAAAAAACAGGAAAAGGCAAAATAACATGAAATGAATACAACTGGAACATATTATTTGATAGGTCACGGACAATTAATAAGTCTGAAACAATATTCCTAGCTACACTTTAACATGCAAAAGCAGGTGATATCTTCATATTAAGCAAGAACAAAACATATGATCAGATAATACATTAATGCTTACCGACAATCATGATGAAGGTTGCGAACTAAAAGACTGCTAGGAGCATCTGCTCTACCAAGGCCACCATTTCGTCCTCTTGGGCTGGGGTTCCTTCCTTTTCTACCATGACTGGTAGGAGCATCTGCTCTACCAAGGCCACCATTTTGTTGTCTTGGGCTAGGGCTCCTTCCTCTTCTACCATAACCTCTAGGTGGTGATGGAGTATAACTCCTACCTCTCATCCGTAGAAATTATATAGATCCTGCTGAACAAAGAAATTTAAGAGGCCATATGGTTAACAAAGGATAAATAATTGACACGAAGAATACATCACAATGAACTATTTCAACATGTCAATACTAAAGATTCCATATATGGAGCAGGGGAAAAGGGAAAAAATAGAAGTGGAATTTTAAACTGAAATGGAACAAACACACATAAACAGGAAAATGAAAGTTTTGAGGATTCTAATTACAGGTATAAATCTCAATTTTCTGGGAATGTTTTGGTTTTTTATTGGACATATAAAATGCATCAACATTAATAAAAAAAAAACACACATTTTATCAGAGAAACGGATATAAATAAATATTGGAATAGCAAAAATCACAAACTTCCAATCCAAATATCATTGACTCCATCAAGAATGGCAGCTGCCAATTTGGAGCTGAAAGGATTCCATACTTTGTATTCAACCTTTGTTCCATCTTCATTCTGACCAATTGAGTAAAATAGATATTTACTTTTTATTTTTTATCTTTGCGATAAAATCATGGAAAATAATACATCTTTGAATAGACAAGTGGACAGTAGGATGCATTTAAATAAAGAATTAAGTCAAAATCAAATACAAAGACCGCCTTATTTAAAACGAGGAGCAATACTGGCTACCCAATTCCCAACATAAAGCATTCTAATATTGTTGTATTTTTTTTTTTGGTGGACAAGGATGCTATTGTGCTTTGTCTAGTCTTTCAGAAGAGTGGTTTGGACCAAAGAATGGTAAACATTATGGGGCTCAATTTATCGAGGAGTGGGATGATGATGAGATAGAATGGGTTCCCAAGCTGGAGGCTACAGTGAAAGTTGATTTTGGCGATGATTTCTATTTGGATGGCCGTGACCTTGACCGGGTTAATGCACTTACCATTAGGGCACAGTGAGAATTTAGTGGAAATTGTGAAGAAGCACTGCATTTCAAAGAGGGGAGTCATCCTTTTTCAGCCACGCCTTTGTTTTCTAAGATGAGTAGACATCCTAACACTTTGAAGTGAAATTGAAGTTCACTGTAACCAAATAATACTATGTCACTTTACATTTGTCTCTGTTCTTATAGCTAACGGTCTCTCTATAGTGAATCTAAGGTTCAAAGGTGTGCAGTTATTGAGCAGCAGCCAGCTGAAACAAATCAAATGAAAGAAATTTGAACTATGCATCACAGCTCAAAGGAGAAGCAACCAAAACCATCGACTATATGCATCACAGCTCAAAAATTGATAATTTTCCAATCCTTACGTTTTCATCAAATCTAAAAGGAAGGCAGAAGAAATCATAGTTGAGA